TCTTCCTCTTCTGAAGAATCTTACCTAACTCTATAGACTTCCCCGTCAGCGTCCCAATGTTCCAAGACCCAATTCTCAACCTAGAGGCTTTCTTACCCCCCTTCCCACCCCTGGACCCCACCCCCAGCCCCACCCGAGGACATGACCTTACTCTCACATCGTCCACTACCGCCACTATAAACAAAAGGTATTAGGCACACACTACCACTAAGAACCAATAATAGGGACGAAGGACTACAGGCTACGAACCCGAGGGCTAAAAACAGCTCAAAGGGACGACTACGATAACAGATACGCGAGCAGGCACTGGAACAATGAATCTACCCCTATGCACACACAGGTTTAAAATGAATAGATGAAACCTTAAGCTTAAAACACTAGTAGAAAAGACAGAAAAAGCAATCAATCCAATCAAAACGGCCGGCAAGGCAACAGTAAATAGATGTGCGCAAATACAATTCAAGGAAGATGGAACCTGGATCACAGTCGGGACGCGCTTCCAAATCCGCTGAATACTGCTGATATGACCAATTCCCACGAGTAGAACCTGGATCTTTCGACTTGGTATACTCCAGATGCTGCGGAACCTGGCGTATAGCTGCTGCTCTACTGCTTGTACGTGTGAACCTCCCTACCGCCACCAAACAGCCACAAATGTGATACCTGCAAAACACACAAACACCCACGTATCCAAGAAAAATACAGGCGGGCCGGACTGTCACCGTTACCAGCGGCAGAAAATTAATTCAAGAAAGATGGAACCTGGATCACAACTGAGGATGTCCGGACTGCTTGTTTTAATATGATTCAAAAGAGTTGATTTCCGGCCCAAAAATTAATACTTAATAACTTTTTTCTCCTCTGAAGTTTGCAAATCAAGAACAATGATTTGTATACCAAATTACGAAATGGAACCCAATTTGTATACCAATTCCTTATACTTTTGGCCAGAAAACTGATGACTATAATTGTAATTGTACTTATTCTTATACTTCTCCAGTTGAAATTCTGAAAATTTTCAGCGAAATCAAGCAATTATAAATTCGACTTGCCACCGGCGATAATATTGATTTGAAAAATTCTGGCGACTCGTTGCTGAGATGGAAATCGGAATTCGGAAGCCAATTGAAAAGTTGTTTGATCGTCGGAGGAACGTCGATTTCTCCGGTTAAAAAAAATCACGGCGGAGGAGACACCGAAACCGAAAATTTTTCTAGATTGAAGAAGGAAAACCATAGACCCCAGAAAGTAGTTAGGAAAAATGAGTACCTTCCTATGGTATCCTCGTTCTAACACTTTTAAATTAGAAGATTTTTCAGATGCTGATCTTGCAGGTGATAAGGAAGAGAGAAAAAGCACAAGTGGGACATGCCAATTGCTTGGCAAAGCCTTGATATCCTGGAACAGTAAAAAACAAGGATCAGTTGCACTATCCACGACTGAAGCTGAATACATTGCTTTTGGACAATGTTGTTCACAACTACTGTGGATGTCTCATCAACTTGGTGACTATGAACTATTTTTTAAGCCTATTCAAATCTTCTATGATAATTTTAGTGCTATATGTCTTTCGAAAAATTCTGTGCATCATTCTAGAGCAAAGCATATAGACATCAAGCATCATTTTATTAGAGATCATGTTCTTAAGGGAGACATAAAAATATCTTTTATTGGAAAGACTGATCAATTAGCAGATATTTTTACTAAGCCTTTATTAGAGGATAGGTTTTGTGCTTTGAGAAAATTACTTGGCATTACTTGCATTAATATAGGACCTATGTGTAATCCGATTACTTTTGTAAGGTTAATAATTAGTCTCTTACTTTTGCATTAATTACGCCTCAGTTTTCCCTCTCTTTTCCTCTCCTTTCACATCAATTGCGTCGTTCAAAGATGGAAAGCCAATCATCACGTCTATTCAACTGACGCCTTTTCCTTTTCTGTACCCAACCATCAGAAGGTTCAGAATCCCTCTTTTTAAGGCGGAGATCTCTTTTCAATCACTTTCATCTCTATCATCTAGAAAACCCTTCTCCGAAGCTCTGCTCAAACCACTATCCTTTAATGGCTAAACACTCCAAGAACCCATCTGCCTCCACAAAAAAAAGTACCTGCTCCAAAGCAAAACCCCCTTCTATGCCCCCAGAACAAGTAAACTTAGGGTCCGACCATTCTGAGGGTTTCGCTTCTTCGTAGGACGATTTGTCTGATCATTCTCAAATCTTAGGAGAAAAAGCTCTAGGAAAACGACCTATGGAAAACCCCCCTGTTTCCTCTACCCCAAAGAAATCCAAGATAGATCTTTCTGGCTCCCTAGAATCTGACCTGAATTTCTGGGATTTTCCAAACAGGGATCTTTTCATCGCTTTGAAAGACAAGCCCATTGCTCATGGAAGGGTAGTCGACCTTGACGACATGGAAGCCCTAAATTGTAAGGTAAAAAATCTTTTTGTTCATCAAGGGTGGTCTAAGTTCCTCTCTATTCCTCCGCCTAAGGTCTATGAACCCCTAGTAAAGATGTTTTATGCTAACCTTCGTTCTAGTAAACTTGATAAGTTGGAATCCTTAGTGTTAGGTAAGCATATTGTTCTTGATTGTGCCATGTTTGATTCACTCTTTCAGTGTAAATGTTCTGGTTTTCCCATGCTTTTCAAAAATATCTGGCCCGTTGATTTTGAAATCTCCTTTGATCAAGATAAACGGTGTATTGCTGAGTGTTCCTCTGAATTCCTTCCCAACCAGTTAGGCCCCAGTGATGTTAGTTTCGAAACTCGAGTCCTGGCTCATATCGTAGCAACTACTCTGATTTCTCGCACTGGTTCCTTCTCCACCTTCTCTCAAACAGACACCTTCTTGGTGTATTGTCTTGTGACCAAACTCAAAGTCAAGTTATCCTCATGGTCATTAACTTCATGATTGAAGTATGGCCATCACTCACATCCTGGAAGCTCATCAAATTTCCCTATCTGCTTATCCCTTTATCACTGTTTCAAAATCTTACAATTCCAGAGCCTTTTCAAGTATGGGATATGTGAGTGTGAAAGGCTCATGGGTTAAGAAGCACGAAGGCAAAGTAAAACATGCTCCAATAGATCCCAAACCCAAACCTTCCTCTTCTTATCCTAGTCCTAGTGATCCTGATCTTGCTGAGAAGCTTCGTGCCACTGACATTCAACTCTCTGAAATTAAAGATCTCCTCACAGCCACTCAGTCCACTGTTGGTGACATTCATGCCATCTCCAAAGAAACAGGGTCTGATGTGTCCAAGATAAGAGTTGTCGTTCTCAGAGTAAGGGAGAATGCTGTCAAGGCTTTCAAGGAGGTTCATGACAGGTTTGATGGAATGAGCATCTCAGCCAATGCCATCTTTGACCAACTGAAGGAGGCCATATGCAATACTCTTACCTACTTTCTGCGTCGTTAATGTGGTTGCTTAAGACAATTTTTTTTGCTGTGCTGTTTTTGGACTGTTAAATCAGTCATTGGACAATTTCTATTTTTGTTTCTTGTTTAGTTCTGGTTGCTTTTTGGGACTATAACTCTGTTGCATAATACTATATACCTTGTTTTCGTTCGTGGTTTGCTCTGCCTATTCCCTCTTTGCTGATGCCAAAAAGGGGGAGAAGGCTATATGTATGTATCTACACAGGGATATATGTATGTATCTACACAGGTATACAAAGTACAGGTATACAAAGCTAGTCGACTAAAGGGTAAGTGTACGTTAGCATCCTCTGCAGCAGGAGTCGACTGCAACATCTGTACCATGGACCAGTCAACTGCATGAATTGAGGGGGAGTACCATGGACCAGTCAACTGCATACATTGAGGGGGAGTAAAACACAGGGAAGTCAACTGTTGTTTATACATATATATTATTTTGTCATCATCAAAAAGGGGGAGATTGTTAGATTTGATTTTAATGATGCAAATAATATATCTGTGCAGGAACTCATGGATAGCAATTCAAAGATTGAAGGAATCAATTAGAGAAGATCATGGAATCAAAAGATTGAAGGAATCAATTAGAGAAGATCATGGAATCAAGGAGTAACTATGAGATGGAAGCAATCAGTCAGGGAACTTAAGGAAAGCAATCCGAGATTAGCAAAGATTAGCAAATCAATGGACAACTACGAGATGGAAGGAATCAAGAAAAACAATCCGGGATTAGAGTAGTAATCAATCAAAGCCAAGACGGAATCAATCAAGCCTAAACTTAAGGAATCAAACAAGTCGAGCGTATCAAAATCCGAAAGGTGCAAGATCCTGGAAGCATATATGGAACATCAATCAAGGATCTCGTAATTATAGCTGTTGCTGTATGACCTTATTCTTGGAAAGAATCAATTTCTCTCCAAGGATCAAATCTCTTGGGTTGGCAAATCTCTCCAGAAACCATGCCTCTCTCAAAGTATTTAAACATGTATCTGTATCCTAGAACCACATACTTTGATCGAACCAAATACCCTCTCTTTATTCTACTACAAACAAACACTGTAGCTCTACTAGATCTGCTGTGTAACAAGTTAGAGAAGAAAGAGAGAACAACACTGGTGAGGCATTGTATCAAAAGAAACGAGTGAAATAGGAACTAAGCGATCGGTGTAGATCACACCATTCTCCGTACTCTGGAAGAAACTCATTCACTGAAAAAGAACTCCCTTGCAACCCAAGGGGACTGGACTAGGATTCACATTGAATCCGAACCAGTATAAAAACTCTGGTGTCTTTAATTCCTGCATCTTAAATTCCGTCTTTACTAATATCAAGTTCTTATATCCAGTCGACTAATCCTAAAACTAGTCAACTTCTAGCTATTAAGTTTAAAAAACAAACAATTCACCCCCTCTTGTACTTTCATATGTTTCCTCAAGTTAGCTGATACTTTATTTCATTTTTTTTTGTTTACCAAAATTTAATACTCCATTTGAACAAAAGAATTGTAAAATTAGTGGTCGAAATATCACAAATTAAAATAAAAATATTAGGACGGAGAATTTTTTTTACTAGTAGGACTGTTAAAATCCGAAATGATCAGAATCTTCACTCGTGGTGACGTGCATTTATCCGATTCCCTGAATCCGATCCCATTCATTACACTAAAACTATCCCCCAACCATCATTTCGCTGAAATTGATAAGAGTTTACGAGAGGATCAAACAAAATCAAAATCAAAGATCGAGGAATAGAAATACAACAGATCAACAAAGAAAGAGTGCACCGACGTGTATGATAGGTAATTTGATATATGCTGCTAATCCGTTCAATTTATTTATAGGTAATTTGTTTGCCTAAAGTGTTCTCATTCAATTCTCGCAGTGAGTTTAGGTCACTTCAATTTTGTCCTTTTCACGCTGAGATATTTGCGACATTTGCTAGGAAACTGTTTTTAATTGGATTGTAACGCAGATTTGATATGTTAGGTTAGATTGCATAACGCTTTTGATTGTAGATGGCTAGTATGCAAAATTATGTGTTTATACTGAAGTCAGTCTAAGAGCTACTAAATGAAAAAATTATCCCAAAATTGATCTACCGAGCAATTTATTGTGTGTGAACATGAGCGAAAAGCAGTTACCTCCCACGTAGAGTTACCCGGTGCTTGTACTGGTGTCGTAGGTATTGGTGGAATTAGTCGAGGTGCAAGCAAGTTGGCCCGGACACCTCATTAAAAAAAAGAATGAAATGCACTTGAATAGAGCTGAATGGATATATTGGATGATTCACAGTCAACTCCAGCTGATTGAGACAGTTGATTCATTGAGCTGTCTTAGAGAAAAGTTCAAGCTTAAGGCATTGTCGGAAGAATCTTTTCTTTGAAGAACCTCTAAGAGCTTCAACATTGGATGGACCAAGGGGACCCTCGAAATTGTTTATTGAATTTGGCTACTTGAAATTTGGGAATAATGCATTGAAGTTGTAATTTCTTAGGTAAGGCAGCAAACTTTTGCATTGATCAGGCACAATGCATAAGTCAATATCCTCTGTGGGCCTGTGTTATATACAGCAGGAATGAGATGGTACCACTAGAAACTGGTTAAGACTACAGAATGACTGAACCTAAAGATATCTGTAGTCCTAAATTGATTGAAAAACATGTTCTTCCTGCATTATTTTCAGGATTGAAAGGCTCTTGTAGTTGATGCAATTTTCTGCCATCCATGATGTGAAGCTCTATAACTTGAGCACCTGGATTTATTTATTGTACAGCTGCTACTTTTTGTTTCGATTCATTCTTGCACTGAAGAACTTGAATATTTAACAGTGACATAAGAAGTCGTACATCCTTTACAAATTTTGAATGCTGCACTGTGTGCAAAACGTATGATTTGCGGAACATTATGCTTATAGTCAAGATTAGATCTCAGGACTATTATTAAACAAGGTAAAAACTTTGGTATTAGAAACTTATTTAATAAAGATACTCTGTCTCTCTCACTCACATACACACTTAACTGGGGTGAAGCTAAAAAAATTAGGAACTTTATGTCCAATAAATCTTGGTCCGAGGTTTGGAATTAGCAGCCAAAAGGAAAATTTTTAGTTCCTCTGACTTCAAAATCTGCAAGTTGATTTCTTACCTTTTTGTGGTTGCTTCTAGTTGTGTGCTTGTGTAAGGAAAATGGTGAAGTTGACCATGATTGCTCGTGTAACTGATGGCCTTCCTCTAGCTGAGGGGCTGGATGATAACCGCGATGTTCCAGATGCAGATTTCTACAAACAGCAAGCCAAGTCCTTATTCAAGAACCTCTCTATGGGCCAGAATGAGGCATCAAGGATGTCCGTTGAATCTGGACCTTATATTTTCCAGTATCCTTTTATTGTTTCCATATAATTGTTTTTTCTATTTTCATGGTAGTGTCTACATCTCTTCCCAGAGGCTAAATGGAAATTTTTGTAAGTAATTAGTAATAACTTCTTTGCTCAAAAAGATGACTGCAAGGTAAGTAATTCCATACACTTACTGATCTTTTCCAAATAGCTTCACTGGGTTACCTATGCTCAGATTCGAAATTCCTCTCAAGGAAAGAGAGAATTCTGCTAACTTATGATGAGTCATCGTTGCAATTAAATGTGGATACCAGTCTACCGAGGCTTTTAATTTGAGGACTATTTAAGATGCCTATTAGTTTTATTTTTGTAAATTAAGGAGAACTCTATGAGGGCCTCTGCACTTCTTGTTGTTGCAATATTTGGGGACAAGTAGAATCAGTGTACTCAGTACTAATGAGTATGGGTGTTCCTCCAGCTTAATGCTTTTGATAAGTGAAATATCTTCTTGGATGAAATATGGTGATAAATATGGATGACGCAATTAATCCAAAAGAACAAAAAGAAAGCTTGATATTAGTTTATGCACGTCCATTACTTTGATAGTAGCTTCTCCACTTGATATGCATTTAATATGTCTTATAAGCATTTTATTTTCTCATTTTTTCTGGTTTTATGGGGAGCACCAAGGACAAGGTAGGTATAATCTAGTGAAAATGCGCTCCAACTTTAATCACGAGCTTGGAGGTTTGAGTCATTAAGGGAGCACAGTGGGAACCAGTATTTGTCTCCTGCAGAACTTGGGGGTTGGGAGTTATAATGCCCTTATGAAAATAACAAAGAGAGTTATAAATAGGACCAAGTTTATCATTAAAATTATGACTATCTGAATGTGAAATCTTGGGGATGATTTGGCATGTTACAATTGTTGATGTGAAACTGACTTTCCAAGTGTCCACTCTCGCTACTGGTAATTCATTTGCTTGCTTTCTAAATTGATACTAGCTTGTTACTTCTGCGTCCTTCCAATCCACTTGAAAACATAACTTATGGGAATTGTGGATCTACTGTTGTCTTAACCCAAGCTCTCAGTTATATCATTGAAGGGCACGTTTGTTATCTGACTATGTGTGATCGCTCTTATCCAAAGAAACTTGCCTTTCAGTACCTGGAAGACCTTAAGAATGAGTTTGAGCGTGTCAATAGGAGTCAAATTGAAACTGCCGCTAGACCTTATGCCTTTATCAAATTTGGTAAGCAACTTTCCTCAACTCTCTCTCCTTTTCAGTTTTCCAATTTCCAGTTGTTAATACTGATTTTCTATTCTTCCAATATATAATTTTCCCTATTTTAAAAGATACATTCATACAGAAGACGAAGAAACTGTACCAGGATACCGGAACTCAGCGCAATATTTCGAAGTTGAATGATGAACTTTATGAAGTTCATCAGATAATGACTCGAAATGTACAAGACGTTCTTGGTGTCGGTGAAAAATTGGACCGTAAGTTTCTCAGCCCAACATTTTTCTGAACTCTATATTATTAAAAAGTTTGCAAAACTTCTAGAGCTCATCCAGGCATTTCCTCATTCATCTTCTAGATATCTGCAAAGTTTCTGATTTCCAAAGGACTTTTGTGCTGTCCATTTCTTTGGCAGTTTATTTGCTGTCCTCAATTATTAGGTAATGATGGTTATTTTTGCTTAGTATCTTGTCCAATTTGTGGAATATGCCACTAACGCTTGTGTTAGGGTAGGCTGCCTACATCACACCCCCTTGGGTGCGGCCCTTCCCCGGCCCCTGCGTGAACGCGTGATGCTTCGTGCATCGGGCTGCCAAAGTTGGATATATTCTCAAAGAGGAAATTCTAGAAGTTGGAGATCTCTCTAAATTTCCTACTGCACTTCTGCTTTTTATTTGCGGGAGTGAACTAAATGAAGTGAGGACTTCATGCTCTTAATTGCAAGGTGCTTGCGGCAAGTATAGATTGGTCCTGTGAGTTCTGTCTATTTGCACTAGAACTGTTGGATCAGTCCATTTATTGTTGAAGCTGATCATTTGGTTCTTTGGGTTGGTCTAAATCAAGGAGGACTAAAGAAGTGACAAAAGCATAAGATTAGGGGTATGTTTGGTATGAAGGAAAATATTTTCCAATTTTCCCATGTTTGGTTGGCTTAAATGTTTTGGAAAACATTTTCCTTATCAACTCATTTTTCTCCAATTGGAGGAAAATGTTTTCCTTATCAAGAGAAGGGAAAATATTTTCCAAAACTCCTTCTCTTAACATTCCCCCTCACACCCCCCCCCCCCCCTCCAAAAAAAGGTTTTTTTTTTTTAAATTTCAGTTTTTCTGTTACCACCCACCCTACTACACCTCCACCCCACCCCAACCCCCCACCCCTACCGCAAAAAAAAAAAAAAATTCACCTTTTTTTTTTTTGCAATTTCAAATTTCTGTTTTTTTCATTTTTCTGCAAGCACCCACCCCCACTCTCCCCCTACCCCTACCCCCCCCCCCCCGTAAAAAAACTTATTTTTTAAATTATTATTTTTCTAGTTTTTTAGTTTTTTAATTACGGTTAAAGGTTCAAAATTTTACAAGTACCAAAGTTATGAGTTCGGAGGTTTATGTGTTTGGAAGTTTACGGGTTCGAAATTCCGCGGTTCGAAAGTTTATGAAATTTGTGGATTCGGAAGGTTGTTGGTTTGAAAGTTTATGGCTTCATGTTTATTATATCTAAATTATTTATGAATACTCTTGAGAAGTCATTTTCCTTAATTTGCGTACCAAACACCGGAAAATGAATAAGATTACTACTTGTTTTCCAAGAAAACATTTTCTTGGAAAACATTTTCCGTTATACCAAACACACCCTAGGACATCTGTTCACATCATTGGATGGGTAATTCTGTCTAATTTGCTGTTGCATCTGTTTGATCAGGCCCTATTGATCATCTTTTTGTATAGGTTGTCCAAAAATACTTTGAAGGACAAAAGAAGTAAAAGAAAGCTTACAGATTAGGAAATATGTTCACAACATTATGCCTTCTTCTTATCTAAGCTTATACAAGCTGCTCCTTCTTCTTCAGTATTATCTTTTTCTAGATTGATCTGAGAAATTTAATTTTAATGGAATCTGAAGTTTTGGGATTGAGGCGTAGTTGATTGAGTGAATTCTGGATTTTAGAGGTGATTTAAAGTTTTACATTGAATATTGACACTAAGGTTCTACGTTAGGTGCTTGTTTTCATTTGTTTTTAAAATATTGTGTTATTAACTTCACTTTTTTGTGCTTTTTTCCTTTCAAAATTTGTGTTTACCTGACCTCTGTGTTATAACAGCTGATTTTGGTACTCTGACAAGTTGAACTGTAGGCAGCATATGGTGTACTATGTGAAAGAAGTAAAATAAGCATCCTTTTGTTTGAATGCAAAGTTACTTTAAAATGAAGTGAAAGCAAATAAAATGATTGGTTTCTTTCGAAACTGCCTGTTGACATCTAGAATAGGAGATGAGAGTGTTCCACTCTCCCCTCCTATCCTCCCCTCCCCCCAACCAAACGCACGCGCACACACACAACGCAGTGCATGCAGGCATATAAAGATGATCTATCTATTAGATGCTGGTAGCAACTATCCTCTTGTATGCCTCTTTTTGTTGTATGACCGGGAACCATGTGGTACTTGTGAAGTGAATTATGATCTTGAAGTCTTTATGTCCTTACTAATAAAAACTAGATTTTGGCTCTAATCTCGAGACAAACTATGCTGCTTATTGTCCTAAAATGCTTCAGCATATACCTGTGCAAGATAAAATTAAGTATTGCCACATTTTGTTGCATAATGAAAATTCCACCTACTGACTCAGTTGTCCTCCTAACTTCAACCTTCTTATGCATTGGCATGTTATGCAACTTATTTACCACCCCCCACCCCAAAAAAAATGTTATGCAACTTTGTTCATTGTCAGTAACTAGATTGTTTAAACATCAAATTCTGCAGAGGTCAGTCAGATGTCCAGTCGCTTGACATCAGAATCCCGCATATATGCTGATAAGGCGAGAGATTTAAATCGTCAGGTTAGTTTCATTGATTTTCAAGATGATGCACTTGAACATGAAGTTTGCTGTTCATTCTCTGAAGTTCTCTTGTGCAATCACTTTTTTTTTTTTTTTTTGAGGGGGGGGGGGGGGGGAGGGGGGTTTAGTGCATTTATATTGTTTAAAAAGAATAACGTAATATAAGCTGCTCAAACTATGAAAATTAACATTCTAAAAACTTATATGTTCTGTCACGCTTTTTCTCGTTATGGACATGCATTTAGTCTGATTTCGAACTTGAAATTGCTTTAATCACTCATTCATTTTCTTCATTACTCAAGGCTTTGATTCGGAAATGGGCTCCTGTTGCTATTGTCATTGGAGTTGTTAGTCTCCTCTTCTGGGTTAAAAATAAGATCTGGTGATGCTGCCAGAAGATGTACAGCTAAGAGGAGATGTTACTCACATTGGACAGTGCACAACCGACATAAACACAATGGTGTTTGTTTTTCTGCGCATGGGGCAAGTCAAGCAATTTCAGTTGAAAATGTAAAACAGAGGAAGTAAACTATGACGAGCCATGTCGCTGATACTTGATAAATGATATTGATATGAATTGCTCGGCATGTTTTTCTTATTACTCAACCACAAACTTGTCCTCCAATAGGTTATTGTGACTCTGAAATGACGACTAGCTATGCTGTAAATTACAGTGGAGGCTTCATAGCCTACTATTTTGATTTTGTGAGAATGCACGGGAGAAAAACATTATATTGATTAAAGTATTGTACAACCCTATTTATATACAGTAATTACATAATTATAGGTCTCTACTTCCCAATGTGGGACACTAAACATGACTAACTACTTAACACTCCCCCTCAAGCCGGTGTATATAAATCATATGTACCGAGCTTGTTACAGATGTAACTAATACGAGAACCAGTAAGAGACTTAGTGAAAATATCTGCTAGCTGATCATTCGACTTTACAAACTTTGTAACAATATCTCCTGAGAGTATCTTTTCTCTGACAAAATGACGATCGATCTCAATGTGTTTAGTCCTCTTATGGAACATCGGATTTGACGCAATATGAAGAGCAACTTGATTATCACACACCAATTCCTTCTTGCTGATTTTTCCTAACTTCAACTCCTTGAGCAACTGCTTGATCCAAACTAGCTCACACGTTGCCATAGCCATGGCCCGATATTCGGCTTCGGCGCTAGATCGAGCAACTACATTCTGTTTCTTGCTCTTCCAAGAGACCAAATTACCTCCTACTAGGACACAATATGCAGACGTAGAACGTCTATCAGAAGGTGATCCTGCCCAATCAGCATCTGTGTACCCAACGATCTGCTCGTGGCCTCGATCCTCGAATAGTAACCCTTTGCCTGCAGCTGACTTTATATACCGAAGAATGTGAACAACTGCATCCCAGTGACTATCACAGGGAGGATCCATCAACTGACTTACAACACTCACTGGAAAAGAAATGTCATGTCTAGTCACTGTGAGGTAATTCAATTTGCCAACCAACCTCCTATATCTCGCAGGATCTCTAAGAGGCTCCCCCTGTCCAGACAGAAGCTTAGCATTCGGATCCATAGGAGTGTCAACAGGTCTACAGCCTATCATTTCAGTCTCCTCAAGAATGTCTAAGGCATACTTCCGCTGTGAAATAACAATACCTGAGCTAGACTGAGCAACCTCAATACCTAGAATATACTTCAATATGCCCAGATCCTTAGTCTGGAAGTGCTGAAAGAGATGCTGCTTCATATTAGTAATACTAGGGCTGTTCAAAACCGAACCGTAACCGAAAACCGAACCGCAAAATTGGCTTAATGGCTTATTGGTATCGGGTTATCAGATTAATGGATGGTGAACGGATTCAAATTTTATAATTAACGGCTTATCTTTGGGGACGGATTATTCAATTTTCTTAACGGTTAAACCGTTAACCCGTTAAGAATTTTTATATTTTTTTACCCGTATGTATATTAAATATCTCTTCCACTATTTGACAAAGTAGCAGTTATTATTCACGTTCAGAAGGTTCACTAAGACACTAACTGTTATTGTTTTATCACGGATACTAACTTAGTGGTATTAGACTATTGAAAATTCACTTTCAAATTATAGTGACTTCTGCCAGTTGTGAAAATCACTTGCATATGCCTATATGGCTTAATGCAATAGCAGAATGTAAAGAGCCCTACACAACACTAATTTAGTATATGGCTATATGTATTCTGGCGAGATCTTTTACGGAGAAAACATAAATTTCCAGTTAGTGACTTCTGGAAATGGGGGCATGACAGCGTTATATAAACGGGTTGAATTCAAGATTTTAATTTGGTGATTTAATGTCAAGTCATATATGCGCTCATTGCTATTTGATTTAGCCGATAAGCCGCCCGATAATGACGAAACCGATACCAATCCGCCCGATATCTTATTGGTTTGGCTAGCGAATTAGTACATTTACAAGCCGATAACCGATAAGCCGAACCGATAAGCGTAACAATCCGCCCGATAAGCAGCCCTAAGTAGTACCATCCTGATCATTGCCAGTAATAACAATATCATCAACATAAACCACCAGATAAATACACAAATTAGGAGCAGAATGCCGATAAAACACAGAGTGATCAGCTTCACTACAAGTCATGCCGAACTCCTGAATAATTGTGCTGAACTTACCAAACCAAGCTCGAGGGGACTGTTTCAAACCATAAAGTGACCTGCGCAATCGGCATACAAGACCACTAGACTCCACATGAGCAACAAAACCAGGTGGTTGCTCCATATAAACTTCTTCCTCAAGATCACCGTGGAGGAAAGCATTCTTAATGTCTAATTGATAAAGAGGCCAATGACGTACAACAGCCATGGACAAGAAGAGACGAACAGATACTACTTTAGTCACGGGAGAGAAAGTGTCACTATAATCAAGCCCAAAAATCTGAGTGTATCCTTTTGTAACAAGACGAGCCTTAAGACGATCAACCTGGCCATCCGGGCCGACTTTGACTGCATAAACCCAACGACAACCAACAATAGACTAACCTGAAGGAAGAGGAACAAGCTCCCAAGTGTTACTCGCATGTAAAGTAGACATCTCCTCAATCATAGCCTGTCGCCATCCTGGATGAGATAGTGCCTCACCTGTAGACTTTGGGATAGAAATAGTGGACAAAGATGATATAAAAGCATAATGGGGTGATGACAGACGATGATAACTTAAACCGACATAATGAGGATTAGGATTAAGAGTAGATTGTACACCTTTGCGGAGTGCAATTGGTTGACTAAGAGGAGACAAGTCCGCAGTAGGTGCAGAATCTGATGCAGGACGTGAATCACCTGGGCCTGATGCTGGACGTGGACGACGATGATAAGTCAAGAGTGGTGGAGCTGCAGAAGGTTGAAGTGGACTAGGTGGTGGAACTGGAGCTATAGGTGGTGGAACTGGAGCTATAGGTGGTGGAGCTGCAACTGGAGCAGTATGTGGTGGAGCTGCAACTGGAGCAGTAGGTGGTGGAGCTGGAGTTGTAGAGGAAGATGAATGGGAGATAGTGACTGAATCTCCAAAAGATGAAACTGGTAGCACCTCAGAAATATCTAATTGATTACCTGGACCTGTGAAGTATGATTGGGTTTCAAAGAAGGTAACATCAGCAGACATAAGGTACCGCTGGAGGTCAGGAGAATAGCATCGATACCCCTTTTGCTTTCTCGAATAACCTAGAAATATACACTTAAGAGCACGAGGAGCTAACTCATCTTTTTCTGGAGTAAGGTTATGAACAAAACACGTGCTTCCAAAGACACGGGGTGGAAGAGAGAACAAAGGTAAGTGGGGAAACAGGACAGAAGATGGAACTTGATTCTGGATAGCTGAAGATGGCATACGATTAATAAGATAGATGTAAGAACTACATCCCCCCAAAAACGCAACGGAGCATGAGATTGTATGAGTAGGGTACGAGCAGTTTCAATAAGATGTCTATCCTTTCTTTCAGCTACCCCATTTTGTTGAGATGTGTACGGACAAGATGTTTGATGAATAATCCCATGAGAGTTCATAAACTGCTGAAATGGGGAAGACAAACTCTAGGGCATTATCACTACGAAATGTGCGGATAGAAACCCCAAATTGATTTTGAATTTCAGCATGGAAGGTCTGGAAAATTGAAAACAACTCAGACCGATTTTTCATCAAAAATATCCAAGTGCACCTGGAATAATCACAATGAAATTGACAAAGTAGCGGAATTCCAAGGTAGAACTGACCCGACTAGGACCCCAAACATCTGAATGGACTAAAGTAAAATGTGACTCTGCTCTATTATCAAGACGCCGAGGGAAATGCGAGCGGGTATGGTTACCGAGCTGACATGACTCACACTCTAAAGTGGACAAGTGAGATAAACTAGGTACCATTTTTTGAAGTTTTGACAAACTGGGATGTCCTATCCGTTTATGTAATAAATCTGGTGAATCGGTAACAAGACAAGTTATTGAAGGAAGACAAGATGCGAGTCCGTGTGATTTTGCAAGGATAAGATAATAAAGTCCATATGATTCACGTCTGGTACCAATGATCCGCCCCGTACTGCGTTCCTGTATAAAAACAAGGTCATCAAGAAATAAAACAACACATTTAAGTGATTTGGATAAACGACTAACGGCTATGAGATTAAAAGGACTATTGGGAATATAAAGGACTGAATCTAAAGGTAAGGAAGGAAGTGGGCTTGCTTTACCTATTGCAGTTGCCATGGTTTGAGACCCATTGACCATTGTGACTGTTGGAAGAGATTGAGAATATGAAATACTAGTGAAAAAAGATTTGTTACCAGATATATGATCAGATGCACCTGAATCAATGACCCAAGACTTAGAGGTTGAATATTGGGAGACACAAGTCACGCTACTATCTATTTGAACACCGGAAGCTATCCCTGAGGATGTCTATTTACATGCTTTGTACTGAAGGAATTCAATATAATCCGGTAAAGAAACCATCTAGATTGAATTCAATGCATTGGATCCAACGGATTGTGAGTTAAAGGCTTCTGATACGAATGCCATTATAATATTGTGCCGGAAAAAGCAGAAATTTTCTGGGAATCACTATTCACGCCGGAAAAATAAAAAGGATGTCAGAATTTGATGAAACTTAAATGACAAGACTCCGAATGATCTCCTGAATAATATGTCCAAAAGAAGCTTATCGAAAAAGTCACTGTAGCTGCTGGAAAGTCCATGTAGTTGCTGGAAAAATCTCAAAGTGATCGGAATAAAAAGAAAAGGACATGGGTAGGCTCGGAATGGCCACACGAACAGGTTGTCTGAAAGAAAATATTTGGAATCTGGTCGGGTAAAGGCCACACGCGCCGGCGCGTGAGGAAGAACTCGCCGGAAAATCAAAGTTCCGATCCGCGTGTGAGGGCGCGTGAGAGGTCGGTTGCCAGAGATCTTTGGTGGGGTTTGGTCGCCAAAGCCTTGGGGACCCTGTGGTGGTGTTGATTTTTGCACAACACCAACGGAAAGTGATTTCGTTACGGACAGCCTCTTAAGTCGCCGGAAAATTGCACGGCGACGAGGTCTTTCTTCCCGGAAGTCGCTGGAATGATGCACAGGGATAATTTTCTCACTGAAGCTCTAATACCATGTGAGAATGCACGGGAGAAAAATATTATATTGATTAAAGTGTTATACAATCCTATTTGTGTACAGTAATTGCATAATTATAGGTATCTACTTCCCGATGTGGGACACTAAACATGACT